ATATGACCACTGAAAAAGAGAGGTTATTTCCTCCTCTATTCTTTTTTTGGTCAGTCATGGGAGCTGAACTCTGGGCCTGGGCGCTGTCCCTCAGCTCTTCAGCTCAAAGCAAGCACCCTACCACTTAAGCCACAGCACCACTTCTGGCTTATTTTTCTGCTTATGTGGGGCTGAGGAATTGATCCCAAGGCCTCATGCATGCAAGGCAATCATTCTACCACTAAGCCACCTTCCCAGCCCCCCCCCTCCTATTGTTTGAAACTAACTTGCATTTAGGTGCCGCTTTTAATCAATCAGACAAATGGGAAGATACTTCTAAAAATTAAAAGACAACTCTAATTGTATGCTTTTCCCCAGTGCCAACCCTGAGAACAAGGAGAAGGCAAAGAGCAATGCTATTTCATCTGGCCCAGCAATGATGGATCTCCAATACCGGGATCCTTCCAGGGTGTCATCGAAATTTTTGCAAGCATTTCTACTAGATAACAATACAAGAATGTCAGAAAGAACTCATGTTATTTACTGTTTTTGAAAAGCCACTATTGTTTCTGTGGGTGCCTAAGTCAACCTGTCGGTTTTATTCTGGAAGTCACTGCAAAGTATTCAGACAAGTGAACAGAAGAGGCATTAGTAGACACAAGTAATAAACCCTCACTTTTCTCAATCTGACAACAGATTTTAAAATAGGGATAGTTTGTAACTAGAAAGCTGATCCCCACAGAGGCCCTGGACAATTTGTGACAGGTAGGCTTCTAATCTTTGTTGAGGAGATGGGAAGGGCCCACATTCTTTTTTATGAACATGCTAAAGAACATCTGTAATATCAGAAGCAGCAGTAATCGTGAGGAACATTTACCCGACCCTTCATATTGGTGCTGAAGATGTTAAGAATTTTCTCTGGATTATCATTGATCTTCACAACTTTCTCAGGTCAGCAGCCCTGACTGTCAGAGAATTACGGTCAGTCTTGGAAACAAGGTAAGTTCTTCCTGGTAGCTAAGTCACAATCCTCCTGCCTTTCCTTGAAAATGAATCTGGGAAGGTTGAGTCACAGGGACCACAGAAAGCTTTCTGATTGACTGGCCTCATAGGAAGGTGCATATATTAAATGTAACTTGGGAAGGACTGCAAATATGATTAGCCGAGATTTCTTAATTTCCACATGGAGGAATCTAATGCTCAGAGATGAATGGGGATGATCTAAAATCAGGGTTGACACAGACGGCTCTCTCCCAGTTGGCTGACACACATCATGACCATTACCTGCACACTCTGTACAAACATCAGTTGTACCATCACACACACACACACACATACACAGTGTGGCCCAGGTTTACATGACTATATGTTAACCCCAGATCTGTTCATTGACCACAATAGATTTCTTCTCAGATTGACCACAGTTAACTCAAAAGATCTACTTAAGAAATTTCCAAAGTCTCCTAACACTGAGATCACAGCACAAATTAAGGTGGATTTCTGATCCAGTTGTTTATTCACTGGTGTGTATCTGATTTTCTTTAGTAATAATTCATCTATAACTAATGGTTGATGCCTGACCAGGGAAAATGATGAGAAAAAAATGGAGTTCAAGAAAAGATGAAAACCTGGGAGGGAAAGGAGGGGAGGGGCGGCGAGGGGGAGAAATAATGAACATGAGACATGAATGAGCCCTGGAGGAAGATGGAGAGGATCAGTGCCTGGCCAAACCATCTAGAAGCTTCTCTACTGACTTCAACACTGTTGAGCTGAAGCCTGCCATGGTCACTGCGTCAGATGCTTCAGAGAGCGGCTTTGCACCTGGAGTGCCACCTTTACATGTGTGTAGCCATTATACCAGAAGCAAGATAGAAATCATCACCAGGTCCTGGTGGTGCATGCCTGTAATCCTAGCTATGCAAAAGGCTGAGATATGAGAATCCTAGTTCAAAGCCAGCCCCGGCAGGGAAGTCCATGAGACTCTTATCTCCAATTAACCATCAGAAAACTGGATGTGGTTCTGTGGTTAAGAGTGGTAGAATGTGCTAGCCTTGGGCAAAAGAGCTCAGGGACAGCACCTAGGCCTTGAGTTCAAGCCCCATGATCAACAAAAAGATGGAAATTACCTGGATTCTGGGATGTTGGCTTTCTCCTTAATTGCTATGTTACCAAATTACTCATGAGTCCATTCTATCACTAGTCATACACAATTCATAACTGACAACACAAAAGGACCATGGCTTACTAAAAACATTTTCACTTCCATCTGCAAGTGCCTACCATGTGACTACTGAAGACTTTTTTTTAACTACATAGTAGTGATTCACTGCTATTTGGGTGCATAGTTAAACATTTAATGAAAATCTTTAGTGCAAAACCTTCTAATACCTTGTTATTTAAAAGTAGTACAATGCCAACTACAGAATAATACTTCAGGTAATACGTAGATATATCTTAGTAAGTTCAGCTATTATGAGGAAATACTACATCTCAAGATTGCGCTTATCAGCAAGGACCTAATTTTAATCCTGATTTCCCTTTTGTTTTCTGTAAGTAAGAATGATGACCTACTACTTCAAAAATGCAATTCATCTGGTTAAGACTCAATGTCAATGCTGACTATACTTTTAATTTGGAGCTACAGAATCTTTCCAAAGGTCCTTCATTGGCAAACTCAGTTGGGTAAGAAAAGTAGATAAAATGATGAGCAGATTACTGTCCTTTATTCTAACTAAAAATCCTGCCTTATTTTTAAACTGCCACAAACATGTTTAAATGATAATTGTATCTTCTCAATGAGCACAGTTCCTTATTATTGGAACTGGCAGGGGGCCTTGACATTTGAGTCACCATTTCATTATGTCTATTTCTTACCCTGGTATACAAATTAAATAGAAATACAAGCCAAATGAAATATAGAGGGGGGGGGGGGAATCGGAAGAAGTAACTTCAAATTGAATTGGTTTTTCTCAAAGCTATAAAATAAATGAAGCAATTAACATTGGTTATAATACATCCTAGTTCCAGAATATTTTCAAAAATACTAATTTCAGTTCTAAGGACCAGAGATGCTTCAAATCATCCTAGCCAACCATTCAACTTCTAAACTGACAGCTTTAATACTTTCCAAATTAAGGAAATAGAGTGATTCCAGTTCTAAAACCACAATGAGGCACAGAAATACAGCTTGAACAAGCCTCTTCCATTCTGACAGGATTCAAAAGTCCAAATGAGAATTGTTACATATGTTTATCATTTACACATTAAAAGTATTATTAAAAAGCACCTTCATGTAGCTCAAATTTATAAATATATAAGTAAACACATTGGAGTGCAATGCAAGTACCCAAATATATTAACCAAAATATAGTGGTTTCGGAGGGAGAACTCAAGTGGTATAATTCTTTAGAAAGACTAACTCACGGTTCAAGAAAAGAAACACCAAGACGCCGGTACTTAAAAGGAAGGGGGTGGAGTAGAGAAGTAGACAAATGAAGACAGGAAGGGGATGAGGGTGAAGGGAGAATACAATCTTACCATTTAATGACTAGCCTCAAAACTAAGAAAACTGAAGGCAGGAATAGAGTTGGGAGAGATGGGGAGAAATGATGCAAGGGGAAACATAGATCAAGAGGCCCTGTATTCAGAAACTGCTTTGTTAAATAGCAACTCGTGTAAAACTACTTAAAATAGTAAAAATTTAAAAAAAAAAACTTTATGTGATTGGACAGGCAGAATTCATTCAGACTAGAATGTCTAAATATGCCCAACTGGAACCCAGATGTGTCCTTAAGTAATTTCAAATTATGAGACCTATATGATTAAAAACTATAATTGAATTAATTTCCCAAATTGCTTGATTCAGTCACACTGAATATGCACCAACCCTAACTTTCTCGAATACTTCATTTATCCTACTGAAGTTCAAAATTATAAAAGCTAATCAATGATAAAAACCAATACTATACAAAATCCTCAGGAAATCTTTATTGAGCTCTTTGGAATTTCTACAATTGTTCATTTAGTAAATAGCAACCTGCTCATTTCCAATAGCTAATAACTTCCCCCCAAAAAAGGTTAGAAACAGGATGAGGACGCTGAGAAAATGGTAGGAAGCTATTTTATTTGAAACTGATTGACTGTTCAGATTATCTGTTCTGAAAATTAACAGTGTATTTCTTTCTTTTAAAAAAATCACTGACACTCTATTACCAAGGGCAAAAAAATGCTCATTGCTGATTTTTTTATATTTCATTATTTATATTAGCATTTACTTTTTAAAATGTTTTATCTGTAGGAGAAAATTTGCGCTTCAACTTGACTATTTTAGGATTGTTTTCTGGTACTTTTTCATTGATATTGTATGACTTAGAACCCAGATCTCTCAAAAAGAATTCAAAGAAATCCACAATGAAAATACCTAGTATTTGCTGTATTCTCACAGCAGTGAAGTACTAAGAAGGGAAGGAATTCCTATTTCAATACTAGAATAAAATAACAACAGAAACCTTAGGATCATCCGTTTCCAGCTTCTAGATCTTACCTTATTCGGTATAGTAACACAAATACAGCATGCAGAGTGTAGGTTCCTGCAATGTGGAATGAGATGAGAAGATACCATATTTTTAACCTATATTTATTTATGTATAGAGCAGCAAGGCCTCATGGGATGAAATCAGTTTTGTCATCAACACTGGAAATAGTCATGAGTTGATACTATGAGACTTTTGAGTTGCATCCCATCATTTCTGTAATTGCTATGTCCAGTATTAGTCAATGTCTGCTTTCGTGTACTGAAATAAATTAATGAGGGAGGGAGGCATTATGCAAATGACTGGGAACAGGGCCAGCCCTTTTACATATACATCCAGGGACCAGTAATCTTCTAGATGGCACTTAAAGCTCTCGTGCTCTCAATAATTAACAAGGGTAGCCAGCGTGTCATTTATGGAAATAATCATCCCTTCTACCAGCTCCCCTCACCCCCATCTCAAGTCCAGGGCCAACTTGCCTGAACTCACCTTGTCTTTATTGTCGGTGCTGGACGCCTCGGGCTTGGTCCTGATCACGAACGGAGTGGACAGCCGCAGGAGGACTCTCTCGAAGGTAGCATCGATCTTCGGGGAAACGATCTCAAAGCAGTCCTGAAACTTGAGCAGTTTGTGCGTGTCGCATCGCAGCTGCTTGCGCAGGCCTTCCCCGAGCTGCAGGACTGACAGGTTGGGGTCAAACATCAAGTGGAAAGGGAAGGCTCTGCAGAAGGTGTTGATGCTAATTCTGAGGTCCCCCGGATCGCGGGAAGTGCCCTGGGGCAGGCTCTTGGTGAGGTTGGTGTTTTCACACACCTTGATGAGGAAAGTCAGACAGCTGCAGTTGCCCGGCTTGGAAGCCTCGGAGCACAGCTTCTCGTTGGCAGCCTGCTCCACTTCCACATCCACACGGTAGATCTTCTTCCCCGCCGCCTTGATCATGCCCAGCATGGCAAACCCTACGACGTGATGCGGATGGAAGTAGTGGAGCATCAGGGTCCCTTCGGGGAGCTCTTTGCACAGGAAAGAGGGCGATTCCATGGTGGCTTGTTTTCCAAAGGAAGTTCTAATGTGTTCCAACAACGCATCGAAGCCATTAAAGAAGTCCTGCAAGGTGCCGCCCACCGCGCGAAGGACGCGCTCGTTCTCGTCAAAGCAGATCTTAAAGAACTCCTCGCCAAATCTCTCTTGGATTTCCTCGAACTTCAAACCTCAAGAGAAAGGAAAGAGCGAATGTCAGGGAAGCCGGATCCGAATAAAAGAGCTCATCGCTGGGCACCACTGGCTCACACCTGTAAGCCTAGCCTAGATCTGAGGATCATGGTTCAAAGCCAGCCTGTGCAGGACAATCTGTGAGACTCCTATCTCCAGTTAACCACTAGAAAACTGGAAGGAAAGCTGTGGCTCAAAGTGGTAGCACACGCTAGCCTTGATTGCAAGAGTTCAGGGACCGTGCCCAGGCCATGAGTTCAAACCCCACAACTGACAGAACAAACCAAGAAATGCTCACCAAAAGAGACAGTAAATGTGTTGAAGCAAAAGAGATACTATCATCCATCCTCAGGCCCACAAATTTCCCACAGAAGTTAATTCATTCATTTAGAAGCCGAGAAAGTAAACTTTAGTTTGCTGTCTAAACCCATCTAAGGCATTAATGAGAATGAACGCATTGTTTGTTTGCGTTTAAATAGACTATGTTAAATCAGACCTAGGTCTGTGGCAAAATTAAAAGAAGCTCCAGATGTTTCCCAAAAGGCCCTCTGCTCTCCCCTCCCCCTCCCCTCATCCCTAAGCTGCTCCATTAACCACCATGCTTACTCTACTCAAACAATTGTGTCAGCCAAATTAGGTCACTTTGACAAAGAAAAAAATCAACATGAAGGCCAGGCGCTGGTGGCTCACACCTATTAAATTCTAGCTACCAGGAGCTGAGATCTGAGGATCACGGTTCAAAGCCAGCCTGGGCAGGAAAGTCCCTGAGACTCTTACCTCCAATGAAACGACTCCAAAAGTTAGAAGTGGAGCTGTGTCTCAAGTGGTAGAACTTTTAGCCTTGAGCTTTAGAAAGCTCAGGGACAGCACCTCAGGCCCTGAGTTCAAGCTCTAGGACTCACACACACACACACACACACACACACACATACACACACACACACACAATCAAAGTGAATAATAAAGAGAAAAATCTAAGAGAATGACTCCCTTTATGGAGGACTATACCACACTGACTTTCGTTTCACAGATGCGATGTGCAGATGCTCGTGAGAACATCACCTAGGGAGATGAACACATTGTCACACTCTTCCGCTGCTACATTTACAAGATTGTCCTTCAACAAACGTGCTCACTCACAATACCACAACCAGAGTTGAGGATAATAGCATTTGCCTGCCCAGCTCTCTAATGTGAGGACAGAACAAATCAGAGGATATTCCCCCCCACTCCAACTGCTCTGTTGTTAGCTGCTGTCAGGATTACAGAACCAGCATAATACTATTTGTTCCCCTGACTTAACCTTGTTTTTGCTTTAACTTGACACTATCAGCCTCTCCTTTTAAAAACCCTCATTTCTTTGGGCTTATCAAACCATGTCCTCCTGATTTGATTACGTTGGAAATGCATCAACACATTTTCCTCAACAACATTCTTTTTATGCCAAATCCTTACATCATCATGTCATAAATTAAAAAAAAATATCTAACACACACTCAATGCCTACATTCAATGATAGTACTCCCAAGTAGAAACTTTCTGGCTATGAAATTCCTCCCCAAAACTAAATTCAGAATCCATACTCTACAACCTGTTTTTCCTGAACTAAAGAATCCAAAATACCACTGAAAATATCCCATGGATTGTTTCCAAATATTGAAGACTGGATCTCCTAAAAGCTTAGGTTCTACAAGCAATAAAAGAGGAGAGGGGGCGCGTCGCAACTGGCATTTCCTTTAAAAATGAAAAAGTCCTTGCAATTAGTGAACAGACATAAAAACAGTCCAGCAAGCTCAGGTTCTACTATCAATGTCAGAATCTCAAAGATACACCCCCCCAAAAAAAAAAAATATACTAACCAGTAAGTAAATGCACCAGAGGCAACAAAATAAAAGCCACTGTGGTGCAAGATTGTAGCCACAAGAAAACTTTGCTGCTCTACAAGGCACTGTTCTACTTTAAGACACAATAACTGTTCATTTTTAAATGATGTCACTATGGCATACCAGAGGCCAAAACATTACATGTATCATTGAATAAAGCTGAATTTTTTTACAGGTTTGAAATATTTTAAGGATAATACTCTAACTCTATTCGCAGTGGTCTCATAGACACCGTAATGTCAAATTAACTGTTGCTGAAGTGCACATCCAAAAAGAAGAAAAAGAGTCCTGAGAAAGATCACTGCAACTTCTGCAAATCAATAGCCACGGCTTCCATTTTAAACCTCATCTCAAAAGGCAAAACGCACAGGGAAATCTCTCAGCACAGACAAGTGCTCAGTTCCCACCTACAGTTGACGCAAATCTCCCACCTTGCAGTAAAACACCCGAAACGTATAGACAATGCTCGTCTCCTCAAATCACAAGACGCTATGACAGCGTGACATTTGGGTCTATAAGAATACATTCCCTCAAGAAGCAGAATTTAGAATAAACCATTCTCGTTAATGTGGAAGCTGAAAGTCAGAATGCTAAAATAATACTAAATCACCAAGGAGGTGATCAGCAAAGGCTGATGCCCAAAACGCTGGTGTCCTTTATCCCTGAAGGAAACAGAAGCCATCTCCTTTGTGGCAGGGGCCTGTTGGTTGTCCCTGTGTGCTATCTCATAGCAGCTCAGACTGCTCATTGCTTGAAAACAAGGTGCTTGTCCCATTGAAATCTGCCTGCCTAGCACCAGCACACACCTGGTACAGAGAGAATAACGCTCTTCCTTAGAAACCAAGCACTTCTTGGATACGTTTAATCATGTATTTCAGGGTACAGTTATACCACATTTAAGGACATTGTGTTAAAAAAAAGACATGTCTTTTTCTTTCTCTCGTGGGCCCCTACAAGTTATACACTGCCTGTGATTGGGCTACAACAGAGGAACACAGACAGTTGTTACAAGGACCCAGTAAGGAAGAACAGAACGCCACAGCAAATGAACTGTAATACAGGTTAAGTGAAGGAGCAAAAGGTAGGGCCCAGCTTGGCCCAGAGCCCAGCAGATCCTAAGTGGATAATGGAGGAGCCAGCAGAAGTGGGGGGTGTGAAATGAAGGGAGCTGCATTATCAACGTTGGATTGGGAGTGCTAAGGCCAAACTTAAGAATGCCAACCAGAGAGACGAAAGCCCCTGACAGTAAGAATGGAAAGAACTGTCATGCAGGACGCTAAATGGTTTATAACCCATCTCATTTGAGTCCTTTTTGAAATTATTAAATAGGTATTTTTATTGTCTTCCTTGTACAGGTGGGGAATGTTTTTTAAAAAACATTGCACATATTCATACAACTACACCTAGCAGAGACATACCTCACCCGTCTGTCTAGGATTAACCTTTGTATAATAAGTATAGTATCAAGCAAGCAAAGCTTCCACACAGGGAAGAAACATACACGTCTTGCTCATAGTTATGTCATCTGCCTGGGTCACTGAGTATTGACTAATAATTCATAGAACACAGAAATCAATACAGAGGCGTAGTGGGGAAGAGGTATCAAAACCCACCACAAGCTCAGGAAAGACCAGGGCAGAAAACAGTCAACTGCATTTGTCAGTCTGTGGGGACCTTGGAAAGGGCAATTTCAATGGAGAAGGGAGGCCAGAGACTTAGCATGCTGTAAGATATACGAGTCAGATGAAGAAACAGAAACCTGGATCTTCAGCTGAATCACTAGAAGGTAAAATCACTTAATTTATAAAACTGTTGGGTTGTTGTTGTTTTTTTTTTTAACTCTGACCTCCAAGGGAAATGTTGACTTCATTGGAAACTAAATGAAGAGAGTCAGATAAGGTGCTAACCTAGGATCATAGATCTGGGAGAAGTACTACATTAAAACTTTAAAAAAAAATTAGTACCTTTCTGGGTCAAAGATCATCAGTGTGGGAACAAATCAAAATGGGAGGTGACCTTCAAATTGCTTAAAACTCAAAGAGCTGAATACCTACCAACAAACTCCCTTCTGTGAACTGCAGACATCTCATAGTTACATTTTGATGCTTTATAGATTTCATCAACCTAATATTTAAGTGACATAACACACTATCTCAAGTTCACACCATTGCAACAATGAGATGTACAGGTCGTTATGTCGAAAACGAACTTCACAACTTTGGTGCAGGGATGGGGAAGGAGGATTGGGGGGAGGAGGAGGGGAAGGGATGGGAAGGGGAAACAAAGGAGGAGGCTACAATGCTTGATAAGAAATGTACTCATTAACTTGCCCATGTAATTGTAACCCCTCTGTACAGTATTTTCACAATAAAAAAATAAAGCATTTAAAACACTAAACATAAATAAATATACTTTCATATTTTAGGAGACAATCTTTTTTGGAGAAAATAATTAAGTTAGAAATCTGGATGGATTTTTGCAAAAATAGTGTTCTACTTCCATACCAATTTATAAAGCAATCACAGAAGTTAGCATCTGCCTACCAGAGAAGATGTAAGGATAGATATTATACTTCTCAATAAATATGAAAAGAGAAAGTCCCACTGATCAAATCCTACCGATCAAATTATAAGTGCAAAGGAACTGTTTTCTTATCTGATCTGTCAACATAGTCTCATTGGAGTCTTTAGGAGAGGTGAAACAAGGGCTGGGAAGGTGGCTCAGTGGTAGAGCGCTTGCCTTGTATGCATGAGGCCCTGGGTTCGATTCCTCAGCACCACATAAGTAGAAAAGGCCGGAAGTGGCGCTGTGGCTCAAGTGGTAGAGCGCTAGCCTTGAGCTGAAGAACTGAGGGACAGCGCCAAGGCCAAGAGTTCAGGCCCCACAACTGACCCCCCCCCAAAAAGAGAGAGAGAGAGAGGTGACATAAAACCTTTGTTATTTCATAGCATTTGAGATAGTAGCCATGGGATGCCAGGAGCTGATGGCTCATGGCTGTAATCCTAGATACTCAGGAGGCTGAGATCTGAGGATCTTAGTTCAAAGCCAGCTTTGGCAGGAAAGTCTGTAAGACTCTTATCTCCAAAACCAGAAGTGGTGCTGTAGCTCAAGTGGTA